TTGCATTGGTTTTCGCTGTCATATTCTCAATGTATGTTTTGTATTGAAGGGACATTTCGTACTTGATGAAACTGGTATAATGAATTTCAGGCAAGTGTGCATTTGTTTTGTACAGTTGCTTATGTTTCCTTCTCATTATATATTTTCAGTAGTTTCTGGCTGTAATGAGATCTGTTGTGCGAAATAGCCTTGATCATTTGGTCGATCAACAGTTCCTCATCTACACCTTGCTTTAGATTATCGAAATCCATCCAGTCGTTCTAATCCGATCTGCCCTAATCTAACTTTAGGGTGCCTGTTGCGGTGCTAACGCGCTGTGATAACTCGTTTATGTTTCCTTAGTTTTCCGTAATCGTTCATTCGCCAACATTGCCAGTAATGTTCCTTTTAAGAAGGCGTTAAAGAAATATGGCTCACTTCTGAAGACTTGGGCGCCTACGGGCGCGACATTGGCCTGACACTGCCAGATCTTTTGCAGGCATTGGTGGACGTTATTCCCGATGGCTGCATGATGCGACTCGGAATGACAAATCCGCCATACATTTTGGACTATTTGGACGTGAGTCTTTGCACATGGGTGGATGTCTTTGCATTTTTGACTCTTACGCATGGATTTGTTTCAGGAGATATGCGCCGTGTTGTTGCATCCTCGTGTCTACTCGTTCCTGCATATTCCGGTGCAGAGCGGAAGCGATGCGGTTCTCTCTGCCATGCGCAGGGAATATACGGCCGGCGACTTTGAAAGGGTTGTCGACGTTGTTAGTGAAAAGTAGGTACGTGCATTAATTTTCAAAAACGAGATGTCATTTAGTAATTTGATACTCTTAACATCCTATCGATAGCATACTGATTTCTACAATATCGTTGATGATGGGTAAACCATAATAAGATGATACACTACATCTGTACACAGTAGGTAATTAAATACCAGCCATAATCTGTGTTTAAAATCAGGATTTGTAGGTGATTCCACTCAGTTGGTAAAATATTCATTCATTTGTTCATTCAGATGACGCCGTACATATTTAAATATTAGAGAAAAGCACTTTGCGCCCCGGTTTTTGATCAGTTTTGTTTACTGCTTTGTTTTTGTGTACTTGGTTTCAAACTGCTGCTAACAGATAACGGTTGCATCCGTGGAGATTGTTTACGTTTTCCAACACTGATAAAGTTCATTTAGGGTACCAGGAGTCACTGTCGCAACAGACATAATTTGCGGATTTCCTGGTGAATCTGATGAGGTAACCCAATTATCATTTGTGATATTGTTTGCTTGCCAGCGGTGTTCATGTTTTCTGCTAATCCAGTATATATTTGATATTGCCACAAGACAGAGATAAGACAAAGAGGACTAAAGTTCTGGAAAGTTTTCAGTATTTGAAAGCATATCCCCGCAAATAATCAGAAATGTATCCTTGATCACTTTAGTAATCGCATGCGGCAATGAGTTCAAATATTGCATTCGCATTTGGAGTAGAATCGCGGTATTACCAAGAGCCACATAGAAGCAGGCGACGGGTGACATGTGCGTAGAGACAGTGCTTGAACCAGCCTACTTATTTTAGACCTGTTTCGTATCTGTGTTGCAAGCAGTTACAGTTGAGTTTGTGAAGTGATCGTATTGCCGACTGCACATGACTAATCATCGAATATTGAGAGTAATTTATTTTCTTTCCAATTGTGCATGTTGATTGTATTATCTGTGTGATTCATGAGTCGGTGGTGATGCTGAAGGAAATAGCAAAAACTTGTTAGTTTATATGCATCTCGGTATGATGGCCTATCGAATGATAGGCTGATATCTAAATATATTGGTCTACCATCCAACAAATTTTTATATCGTGTTGTATATTAATGGACTAGTGTTTGCGCTGTTTTTCATATTGATTACAGAAATTTATCGTAATCATCACCAGCGTTTATCAGTTGATTGTTGGATGAATGCCTCTCCAAGATTTGGCTATAAACTTGTTTTTGCTATCTTTATTCATTTTGATTCAGCGAACTTCTTTAGCTCATCGTTCTCTGTCGATTTGGAGGTCTATCTAGGACGTTTTACTTTCACTTGGAACTCGGTCTAATGTATAAAGGGGGGGGGGCAACCAGTCTGAGTGGTCTCACTCATGCCATGGCCTGAAATGGCACTTCTGCATCTATTTGGAGTCTCCTATTGATTACACATACTTATGACGATATTATATTAACGTTTTGCTAACTTAAGATATCTGAAGTATTCGATTTTCGAAAATGATTATCTGCAAGTACTGTAATTCTTTTGATGACAGTTATCCCCTTGCCCTAAAGTAGTTCTGTATGTGTCTGTAGTGCTGTTTCTTTGTTAATTCATTGCTGTCAGCCATTATTTGTTTGAGGATTTCGAGGAAACCGTCAGGCTGGTTAAGAAGTATCGTTTTCCCGTTCTTTTCGTGAATCAATTTTACCCGCGACCCGGAACTGTCGCTGCAAAGATGAAGCGTATCGACGGAAAAACGGTTGTTGTTCTTTACTATTACACCTTGTTGTATTGTTCGTTGGTTATGGAATTCGTTTGCGTGGTCATTGTGTTTATACCAGGAACGTAAATTGCATTTTTATACTCCGACAAGCAAAAGTGTATCGAAAAGAATGAAAAGTGTTTTTCCAAAATTACCTTTTTCGATTCGTCTGGTTCATAAGCATCGTCACATGTTTCCTGAACGGTGTTTTCCTTGTAATCTGAAGAAATATAAATTTCAGCTAGTTTATTGTAAATGATTATTTATGCATGGTTTCCCTTTTCCGCGAGATTGGGCACCCTCCCTGGTGCGGGAGAGGAGAAACCGTCAGAGCAGAGGCAGCTATAGTAAAGCCCATCGAAGAAAACTGTGAGAAGGTCAAGCCTCACAGAGACGTCACTTGGAACCCCGTTTGAGTCGTGTTGAAGAATAAGCGGACGTTCAGCGATGACTCCCGGGAAGCGTGACAGTAGCCCAGACCATTTGTCAAGACCGCAGCAAAAGTGCTCGTCTATCTGCTATTTGCAATTACAGTAAGACAGCATCACGCAGCTAACGGATAACCGGTGGACTACAGCAGTGACGGATTCGTACCCAAGGAACTGCAAGCGGCGTCCTGCTGGAAGACCTCGGCTCTGATGGAAAGATGAACTGAGGAATACGAAGCTTGTGGTGAAAAATCACGCGATATGGATGAGCGTAGATACTGAGACTAGGCAGTGGTGATCCCAGTTAATTGCGAAGGATCGGTCAGTTGCTGTTGTATGGTTTGGATATCAGTTCTTTACTTACTGGTGGTTTCATTTAGGTTAAGCGGAGAACCAAACGCCTCTACGAATTGTTTCAATCCATCCAACCTTTCGAAGACAAAGTAAGTGTACCGATTCTGTGAGAGAGATGAAATCACTTAACAAACGTTGTAAAATTCATAGATCGGTAAAGTGTTTGATGTTCTGATTACCGAACATGCCTCTCGAGGAGAACGTTTCGTTGGTCACAGCAAGTTTTACGAACAGGTGTGTGCAATACTATAAGGATGGACATTTTCCATGCGTTGTTTTGAATAATAAGCGTAACTCAATTGGTTAAACACTGGATTATTCACTGTTTCATTGCTTTTCTTGGTTTGTGAACATTTAAACGGACCTTGACATAATTGTAGGTGAACCGAAATGCCACGATTGCAAGCTTTCATTTTCAGAGAAAGCACCATAAATTTATGAGTCTTCGAACTCCAAGATTCCATTACTGCTTTGATTGCGAATTCGTTGATGATGCGTTGAACCTCAATTTAAAGCTGTCTCAATTTTTAGACAAAAAAATTTAGCAGTCGTAAAGAAAGCCTAGCCCACGGAATTAACGTTTTTTCCTCGTTTCATTTGAATCCACTATTAACTATAATGATTATCATTTGATCGAGAACTTGGCTGTAAAACAGTCTTTGATGAAACAGCTGCTGCCTGAATGTTTTCACTTTACGCACTTTCCTTAAGGTACTAGTATCGAACAATGACGATATAATGGGGAAAGTGGTGAAAGTTCGAATCACTTCGTGTAATAAGTTTTCGATGGAGGGCGAGCTCATAGGTGACACCGAAGCGAATTCATCATCTCTTACTATGTGTCGGTTTCTGAAATCTTTGGTAATGTGGAAAACTTCATCGCAAGTACTTGTTTTATTGTTTTCTGAAAAGAGTAGCATTTTTTATCCTATTTTGGTTTTTATTGGTACATTGTTGATTATGTATTTTGTTCGATTGTTCTGATAAATTAGTTCGTTTTGAAATACGACTTTTAAGATATTGTGAATGTTAGAGAAGTGTAGAGTCTGTAAACGAAATTCATGGTAGCTGTACCATATTGGCTATCGTCGGTTATGCAGTCAAGCATCTTATGGCCTCTTTCACAGAAGCAAGGAATCTGTTCTAATTAGCGTTATACCTTATTATGATGAAGTCAGCACTGATGCCCTCTGAGTCGAGTCAGATAGCAGCCGCAACAGGTATGCCTCAAATACAATTACCGTTAAGTGTCACATTTTGGTGTGGCCATACTCAGGATTTACTGACACAACAGCAATAGTCACTTAGTTACCAGAGTCGATGCTTATACTTGTATTTTACTATCGTCAATGATAAATGTTTCATCGTACGGATGTTACGGCTTTAACTGATAGACTGGTTGTTTTGTATTGTCTAATTAAACCTGTTTCGCAGTACTTCAGTACGACAACGAAATTCATAGATAGCTCAAAGTAAGATCCAAGAAACATACAGTAAGGTTAACCGGCAGAAAACATTCTGATACTGTTACAAAAGTAGAATCCTTGGAGTGCCAATATAATTTCGGTAATTCAGAAACCATTATACTTTACCATAGCAAGAGCAGTCCTGGGCTTTCTTTATGAAGGGATTCTCGCTCTTTTCCCTTAATGCGAAAAAATGTGCAGCAACCATATGGGTACTCTTGAGATCAGCTCAGAATGAAATTCTCTAAAGCCATTCTGTGTTAACTTTAAACTTTTCCCCAAATGCATGTTCACGCTTTCATCTTCATCTTCCATCGCCGCTTCTCCTTTCGGGTCGCGGAGGCAGACGCGTCAGACAGTGCTTCC